GAGTATAGTAATGTGAAACTTGTGTGTTTCATATGGTAACAAAGTGTGTTTTTTAAACAGAAGTGTATAGTTTTTACAAGAGTGTTTAGTTATGCAAAGGATCTGTAGTGTTTTGCTAATTGGGTGTGTGGTTGTGCTAATTGTGTGTAGTGTTTTAAAAACACAGGCCCTGTTTTGAAAATCGTGCTTAAGCAATCCAAAAAAACTGTTATTCATTTCTAACCCCCTTCTACAGACTAACCGTGACCCTTTTCCTCTGTGACGATCTCGGCACTGGTGCTGGCTTAATCCCCAACTCGACACATCTGGTCACTCCACCCTACCAGCTATTACCACTAAGTGGTTCCACCTCCATATATACTTCATTTGGATCTGTTCCCAGTGCCAGATCATCGCAGACCAACCACTGAGTACCTTCCAGCTTTTTTACTTTTTTGCCTGCCAACCTGTTACCTGACCTGTTTCTGCCTTTTTTCACCGAGCCTGCCTGCCTGGAAACCAAACCTGATCTGCCTCTGGACCCCTGCATCAGTTCTGCCTTGGATTGCCTGCCTGTGAGCCTGACAACACTCTGTGCTTCTCTTAACCTGCCAGTTAACGGACCCTGGATCAGACCTGGACCTGGATTGCCCCTCTGTACCTTTGCTTGGACCCAATCAATGGAATCAGTAAACGGACTGTCTCTGGAACTCATCAATCTCAATCCTCTGCAAACCGTACACCGCTCAACGGCCACCGCTTCCACAAGCCTCGTCCTCAAACGGACTCCTGCCCCTGACCCATCACGGAGCCAACTGCCCACTCTGAGACCCAGTAACAGGTTAGTGATCCAGCCTTACCCCCCCTCACTAGTTTTCCTCTTGCTGATGATCACTAACCTGTTGTCTCCGTCACAGGGGATTTCCAGTCTGAGAGCTGCCTGCCCACTCCCAGTGCCACACTTTCATTACTAAAATCCATTGCATCCCACTGACCTGTCTAAGTAGTTTACTGGGTCCTATTTCCTGTACGTTACATCCTGACCCTAAAACAGCAATTCCCCGCATAGGCTCAAGGCACTGGGCCCCACAAGGAGTAGCAACTCCTCACAACATTTTTTTTTCAATGAAATGGGACTCACAATATATGAAATACAAGAACACACGTACACACACATTCAAATATTAATAGCCAATTAATAAATTGAAAATATTATACATTAATTGCATTAAATAAATCCGAAAAAATGGTTTGAGTCAAGTAAAAACCTTCTTGTTCACATTAGATGATTAAACACAAATAACTCACTCAATAAAACCAATTGCCAGTATGATGCATGGCTTTTCTGCATGTCTGCACAAAGTCCTTTATTCTCTCAATCTAAAACTCATCACCAATACTTTTGTTAAAAAACATTTAGAATCAAGATGGCTGCCTTCTGTGGCAGAGCATTAACTCCCCTAAGCCAAATCCTTCTAGACCCAAACATGTAGGCCTTCTGTCTAACCACTTAAACCTTGTCCAAACAAAGTCATCAGTAGAACCATGAACCCAACCATTGCAGCAGATCTACAACAGAAGAAAACAGATAATTGGCAGCAATGGTCTAGATCTCAGCCTGACTGATATGCTGTGGTGAGACCTTCTTCTGTTGATGAAGAGCTTCTACAGGGTGATGCGTCAGGGACACTGGTTCAGTCTCTAAAGTTGAGAAAGAATCAGAAGCTTCAGTCATATGGTTTTTATTAAAATTCTGTACAGAGCGGCTTNATGAAAGAAGTATGCTTTAGTCTGTTTTGTTGGTGATGTGACTTTTTTCCATTGAAAACTCACGTTTAGAGAATGTTACAAATAAAAGTCAAATTTCATTCAACATGCGTGTGTATTTTTTTTTTATAATTAAGTGTTCCACGTGCGCTAAAAAGTGCCCTGCCCCACCTCCTGAGCACCTGCCCCCCAAAATGTCTGTGCACGCCTCTGGTGGTCTTTGCTGAGGAAGGACAGACAGCAGCAGGCTGAGTCTCTACATTGGCTGCTTCAGAAACCGGTTATGTTTGGGAGTTTGTTGGATTGTCCTACTTGGGGGGCAACAACCTGCCCCAGACTGCTCCACACTGCTAAAGTTTATTGCCTTGGGAGGGTGGTGGAGCTGGCTGGACCTCGGCTGGATGATCCTGTTAAGCTCGCTGCCTGTTTGGGAATAAAGTCTGTTCGATTTGTCGGTCAGCTTTTGTGCTACTGGAAGCACAAGTTAAGTGAACATGAGTGTTCACTTTTGGCTGATTATCATGAGGGTTCTGTGTCACCAAATCACTTGGATCCTTTTCCATCCTTCAGACTGTTTACTGGAATAAAGAACTGCTCTGGCCCTTTTTTGGATTCGGGGGATAAAGGAATCTCCCTAGAAGGAGCTTCTCGAAAAGTTATCTATAGAATGATTGTTAAAACTCTCAATCAACACAAACTGAATGGACGCAGTGACACAGTATGGAGAACTCATTTCTCCTTAAAACCTGAATTCAAACCTGAATGGAAATTGTTGGAAAGGCAGTATAACATTCATAGATACTTATCTGTAGTAAGGTGTTGGGAGACATCTAGTGGCGATAAATGGTAAGTGCACCTTTTGTTCAGAACTATGCAGCACTTTAATTAGTTAAAGACGGAGCCAAGCAGCATGTGCAGCTGAAGTTGTGCAGCCTAGACTCTGCTCAACAGCAGAGCAGAGTAAAGCCAAGAGCTGGAATTAGCTACTTGAAGTAAATTAAAAAAAAAAACTGTATAGAGCTTCAGTGCAACATGACTCTTCAGCACCTGACCTACCACCTGCTGAGAGGTACAGAGAAGTGGAGCGACGTGTTTTTTTGGATTAATACAAAGAGACAGTTTTACAGAAGACTATCGTCTACTTAAAGCTGGTAAACAAATCCCACCTGACAGCCGCCTCTCATGCCTCTCACCTCAATATGACAAAGACTTGAATCTTCTACGAGTGGGAGGCAGATTGCGTCAGATTGACAATATTGACCTGCTTGTTGCACATCCTATTGTGTTGGATCCCAGTCATCCTTACACAAAGCTGCTTATCAAAGACTTTGATGAACGTCTCTGCCATCCCGGCCCTGAACAAGTGTTTGTTTGGATCCTGAGAGGAAGAGAAGCTGTAAAACGCCATCAACACAGCTGCATTGAATGTAGGAAATGGAAGTCTAAACCTGTTTTCCAACAAATGGTAGATCTACCTGTAGCTAGACTTCAGCTGTTTAAACCAGCCTTCTATTCTACTGGAATGGATTGTTTTGGGCCTTTCCTTGTCAAAGTAGGACGTCGCCAAGAAAAAAGATGGGGAATATTATTCAAGTGCCTTACCACTAGGGCCGTCCACATTGACCTCCTGGCTTCAATTGACACAGATTCATTTCTAATGGCCTTCGGGAGATTCATTGCCAGGCGTGGTAAACCAGCAGAAGTCTACTCGGATCAGGGGACTAACTTTAAGGGAGGAAAGAGAACTTATTGAGGCCTTTGCCCTGATGTGTCCTGATCTCCAGCAAAAGCTTGCACAGCAATGGATCAACTTCAAATTTAACCCCCCAGCAGCACCACATTTTGGAGGTTCATGGGAGAGAGAAATATGCTCCATTAAGATGGCCTTATACACAGTTATCAACTCTCAAAGTGAAAAGGAAGAGGTGCTCCAAACTGTGTTAGTGGATGTTGAGAGCATACTGAATGCCAAACCACTAGGGTATGTCTCCTCTGACATATCTGATGTGGATCCAGTTACACCAAACTACCTGCTTATGGGGCGGTCTGATAGCTCCCTACCACAAGTAGTCTATCCTGAAGGCGATAAGCTGGGACGGCGAAATTGGAGACATTCTCAAATCCTTGCAGATCACTTCTGGTCTTCATTTATCAGGAACTACTTACCAAACCTCCAAACCAGGAACAAATGGAAGAAACCATTGGACAACATTCAAGAAGGGGCTGTGGTTCTGCTAGCAGATCCCCAGATTCCCCGTGGACATTGGAAAGTAGGAGAAGTGGTTAAAGTTATGCCTGGACCAGATGGACTCATCAGGACTGCAGATGTGAGGATTGAGGGCAAGAGCTACATCCAGCAGGTTGTGAAGGTGATCGTCCTTCAGAAGCTTGAAGACAAAGATAGACCACCAGACTCTACTTTAGCTATGTGCCTTTCCATTGTTTCAATTTGTCCTACAAATTGGGGGCGGCTATGTTGGAAAGGCAGTATAACATTCAGAGACACGTACCTGTAGTAAGGTGTTGGGAGACATCTAGTGGCGAAAAATGGTAAGTGTGCTTTTTGTTCAGAACTGTGCAGCACTTTAAATAGTTATAAACGGAGCCAAGCAGCATGTGCAGCTGAAGTTGTGTGCGTAGATGACAAACGTAAGCGTAACATGATCAGAGTGACATAAATGTTTGTTTTGAAACTAGATACACCATGTTTAATCCGTGTTGCATATATTTGATAGTTAGTTTTGTAATGTTTAAGAGTATTCAATGATGGAAGCTACAGACTAATGCTAATCACATCCGATGCAACGCTTGTTCAGTGAAATGTGTTAAGCACAGATGTTAAGAGTGTTAAGCTTTGGTTATGATAAGCTATCATACTTTCTTGATGCAAATGTTGTTAAGTGATATTCTAAGTAGTGTTTTTATTGCTTTTTACTAGTACATACAGCAGGCATTTCTGATTTGCTTATTCCTTTCTTTGTAGACCACACAATAATATTCACAAGTGGTTCACCTATGCTGACATCTGTATCAGTGTGAATATGGAGAGGCTGCTGTATATCGCCTGAGTACGATTAAAGAACAACAAAAAAATGAGGCATCTTGTCTGTGCTCCTTACCGGCACACCGTGGAGGATATCAATATTAGTATCAGTCTTCATCCTACAGTCTAACTTCCAAACAAAGTAACAGAAATTGTTGTGTAAGCCTCCTCTAACGAAAAAACATGCAGATTTACAATGGAGAATCCTTCATGGTATTGTAGCTGTAAATTCTTTTGTTTCTGTTGTTAATCCTCCTGTGGAAGATAAATGTCCATTTTGTGAACAGAGAGAAGCGGTATTTCATTGTTTTTCTGACTGTGTTCGTCTGTAAGCTCTTTTTGTGCTTTTGAGAACTTTTTTCAACAGATATGGTGAAATGTTAACTAAACATGGATTTATTTGTGGTTTTTGATTCACACGGCAAAAAAAGAGCAAATGTGAATTGATTAATTTCTTGTTAGGACAGGCAAAAATGGCTGTGTACATACACTCACCGGCCACTTTATTAGTTTAACTGCTCGTTAACACTTAATTTCTAAGCAGCCAATCACATGGCGGCAACTCAGTGCATTTAGGCATGTAGACATGGTGAAGACAATCTCCTGCAGCTCAAACCGAGCATCAGTATGGGGAAGAAAGGTGATTTGAGTGACTTTGAACGTGGCATGATTGTTGGTGCCAGAAGGGCTGGTCTGAGTATTTCAGAAACTGCTGATCTACTGGAATTTTCACGCACAACCATCACTCGGGTTTACAGAGAATGGTCCGAAAAAAAGAAAAAACATCCAGTGAGCGGCAGTTCTGTGGGCGGAAATGCCTTGTTGATGCCAGAGGTCAGAGGAGAATGGGAGAATGGCCAGACTAGTTTGAGCTGATAGAAGGGCAACAGTGACTCAAATAACCACCCGTTACAACCAAGGTGGGCAGAAGAGCATCTCTGAACGCACAGTACGTCGAACTTTGAGGCAGATGTGGTACAGCAGCAGAAGACCACACCGGGTGCCACTCCTTTCAGCTAAGAACAGGAAACTGAGGCAACAGTTTGCACAAGCTCATCGAAATTGGACAATAGAAGAGAAGTCTCGATTCCTGCTGCGACATTCGGATGGTAGGGCCAGAATTTGGCGTCTACAACATGAAAGCATGGATCCATCCTGCCTTGTATCAACGGTTCAGGCTGGTGGTGGTGGTGTCATGGTGTGGGGAATATTTTCTTGGCACTCTTTGGGCCCCTTGGTACCAATTGAGCATCGTTGCAACGCGACAGCCTACCTGAGTATTGTTGCTGACCATGTCCATCCCTTTATGACCACAATGTACCCAACTTCTGATGGCTACTTTCAGCAGGATAATGCGCCATGTCATAAAGCTGGAATCATCTCAGACTGGTTTCTTGAACATGACAATGAGTTCACTGTACTCAAATGGCCTCCACAGTCACCAGATCTCAATCCAATATAGCATCTTTGGGATGTGGTGGAACGGAAGATTCGCATCATGGATGTGCAGCCGACAAATCTGCGGCAACTGTGTGATGCCATCATGTCAATATGGACCAAACTCCCTGAGGAATGCTTCCAGCACCTTGTTGAAACTATGCCACGAAGAACCGAGGCAGTTCTGAAGGCAAAAGGGGGTCCAACACGTTACTAGCAAGGGGTAACTAATAAAGTGGCCGGTGAGTGTAAGTAGAAAGTGGAAGGTGGTGGAAGATTTGAATATGGACTTGGTTTCTTTGTTTATTAACTTGGTTGAATTTTATTTTTACAGATCACTTTCAGATTTAGATTTTTGTCACATCTGGAGTTATGGGAAAGTAATTTGTAGTTATATAGTTGTTTTTTTTCTGTTACATAGTTTGTGAAACTATGTCGATTATTTATTCATAATAAATTAGTTATTAAAATCTCTCTCCCTCTCTCTCTCTCTCTCTCTCTTTCTCTCTCTCTCTCTCTCTCGTTAGTTGGCCCCGGACAGTGGTGAATATTGGAAGTGCAGTTTCTTCTTATACAAGTATGTGAATAGTTCCATCTGAAATTAATTAAAATAATTTTTTTAAATGGTTATTGAGTCAGATATGTGGCGGGTAATGTTTGATTTATCGAAATGTTTTGTCTGTTACTGTTATCTGTTAATGGCTGTAATTTAAGGACAGATTCTAATATATCTGCACTGTGGGGTCCATAAATCTGACATGATTTTTATTTTTTAATTGATATTTAGCACAATTTGGCTTAACAATAATAGTAATAATACAAATAATATTTTATAAAACAATTATATACAGTACAGACACACCTTATCATTCAAAGAGTTTTTATTTTTATTTTCATGAATACACTGAAGACATTAGAACTTTTAATTAACACATGTAGAATTATGTACTTAACACAAAAGTGTGAAACAACTGAAAATATGTCTTATATTCTAGGTTATTCAAAGTAGCCACTTTTTGCTTTGATTACTGTTTCGCACAGTCTTGGCATTCTTTTGATGAGCTTCAATAGGTAGTTGCCTGTAATGGTTTTCACTTCACAGGTTTTCCCTGTCAGGTTTAATAAGTGGAATTTCTTGCCTTATAAATGGGGTTGGGACCATCAGTTGTGTTGTGCAGAAATCAGTTGGATATACAGCTGATAGTCCTACTGAATAGAGTGTTTTTTTGTATTGTATTATAATTTGTATTATGGCCAGAAAAAAGCAGCTAAGTAACGAAAAACAAGTGGCCATCATTACTTTAAGAAATGAAGGTCAGTCAGTTCGAAAAATTGGAAAAACTTTGAAAGTGTCCCCAAGTGCAGTCGCAAAAACAATCAAGCACTACGAAGAAACTGGCTCACATGAGGACCGCCCCAGGAAAGGAAGACCAAGAGTCACCTCAGCTGTAGAGGATAAGTTCACAGGTTCGCAGCAGCTCAGATTAGAGACCTGGTCAATGCCACACAGAGTTCTAGCAGCAGACACATCTCTTGAACAACTGTGAAGAGGAGACTATGTGAATCAGGCCTTCATGGTAAAATATCTGCTAGGAAACCACTGCTAAGAACAGGCAACAAGCAGAAGAGACTTGCTTGGACTATAGAACACAAGGAATGGACATTAGACCAGATATGTTCTTTGATCTGATGAGTCCAAATTTGAGATCTTTGGTTCCAACTATTGTGTATTTGTTTAACGCAGAAAGGGTGAACGGAGGGACTTTACATGCCTGGTTCCCATCGTGAAGCATGGAGGAGGAGGTGTGATGGTGTGGGGGGGCTTTGCTGGTGATACTGTTGGGAATTTGTTCAAAATTGAAGTCATAATGAACCAACATGGCTAATACCCTTATACTGCCCTACAGTGGGATTCTTATTCCAACCTCCTAATAAATGTGCACACTTAGCTCTTATATGACTCAATTTCTTTACTAAAAAGCTTTTCAATATTACTTCTAAGGGTGAATAAGCTGTATGACATTCTAAATTCTCTTTTTCTCCATAACTGATTTATTAAACAAAACATTGACAAAAACACTTTAGCTTTGATAGTTGTAAGATGTCATTTCTACTTTTTTGCAGCATACTTTACAGCTCACTGTTTCTCTCTGACACAAAGGTTATCTTAAACTCTTGCCTGTATGTCTTTAATATGAATGACAACATCAAGCATTCTTGACTCCTAAAAATATACAAAATGAAAGAAATCCTATCTGATGTGTGTTAAGGGGAAAATTCTTCAGCTCCCCCTTGTGATCCTTTAAGAAAACACTGTATCTTTCAAGGACTGAGAATAGCTTTACAGAATTACTTAAAATTGATGAAAGTAAACCTTAAATTATTGTTTATTTTAAGTTTCAGAGACAGAACTATTGCTTTATTTGTACAGATTTTGTGTTTTATAAGTATTTATTTTTAACTTGCTAAAAAAATAAAAGGTTGTATATTTTAAAAGAAGCTTGTGGATTACAACTTGAATTTATGACATGCCTTTGAATACTGATGCAAGGGACACCGGTGACACTCTAAAAGTTGTCTTGGTAACCCTATGGGCTCTATGGTGAAAATGTGCTCAGTTTTTATTTCTCTTACAGTAACAGAACTCCCGATATCTAACAAGTTCGAAGGAAGAGGCGTTTATTGGTACTTCCTGGTACTCTTAATTGCTGTTGCAGAAAAAAACAACAACCTGATATTACATTTCATTTTATTATTAGAAAATAGAGTTTCAGCAACCGGAACCTACATAAAAACTAAAAGTGGTTTAGCCTGGTCCAGGCTCTTTGCTAAAGGCGTGACAACACTTATCAAGCTGAGGTGCAGTCCCTCGTAGAGCAACATAGAGGAAGCATGTACTTCACAACACTTTGCACTCTTGCTGGTGAGTTCTAGATGTTTTATTTACTACTACTTTATAATAGATGTGAAGGGTTAGAAAACTGAACTCTTTCTGTAAAGTCAGGTTTTTACTTACAGTAAATGTGTTTTTGTGTGAAAAATAATTTAATTATTAGAAAATGCTCAGTGTGGTGGGTTTACAGACAGCTCTCTTCCATTTTTGTTTTAGTAAAACTACTCCTTTATTTGATATTTATATGTGATATGGACAAAAACTACATCTAGAGGTACTACTTTAACCGCTACTTATAACCTTTCCATCCTTAAACTAATGTGGTTATCATTAACCAGAGTTCAATTTTGTTACTTTCACTGTCAGACTGAAAGTGACACTTGCAGCTAAAGCGTTCAAGTTAAAAGTTCAAACGACTTCAACATAAGAAGATGTAAGTAAGAGAGTCAGATTTTTTTTCCCTCAGTCCCCCAGACCACGTTCTTCTATGGAAAACATTTAAAAAACATTTAAAAATATATATATATTTTTCATGACCTTGATCATTTTCCAGTTTGGGGTAGAATATTATTTTTCACACACCAAGCCCCAGTGCCTAAAAACAACTATAGTGTATAATGTGTTTTTTTTTTCCATTAAACACCTACATAGCTATACAACCATCTATTTTCCACATCAATGTTATCCTGTGCCATGGCATAGAGGCTTGTGTAGAGAAAAAGAACTTCATTTTTAACTTTACAAGCTCACCGGCTTGTATTGTGTCTTAACGTCATGTTGGTAAAAAATAATGACCACTAAGACGTGTGCATAGTGCCAATATTCGCCTTAACCTGTATTTCACGCTTTGCAATATTCAGAACTAACCCCAAGAACATTTACATCGAAGAAGCCCGCTGGGAACACAGCAAACTGGAGCAGGGGGAGAGATGGCATGTTGTCTGGAGCAAGCACAGGAGAAGAGCAGCAAAGCAGAGCATAGCAGTAGATCGGAGAAGGTTAACGGCCAAACAGAGGACCCTGAATTTAGGGGATTGGTTGTAGATGGCCCAGGCTAGCTATAGAAGCTAAAAAAGGAGAATCAAAGGAGGGCATCGGTAGATCAGGTAAGTCTGCACGTCAGATAGAGCCCTAAAGACAGGGGAGGGCAGCCGCTTGCCAAGAGAAAAGCAGTGGTACATCAGAGAAATCAAAAAATAGAGCAGGGACAGGCAGTTACTGGTTTGGACGAGCCTCTAGAGGCTAACTGAATAGGATCAAAGGAGGACAGCGGTAGATCAGAGGAGTCTGCTGGGCAGAGTGCCAGAGCAATGGGGAGAAGGTGGCAGCTGACTGGTGTCTGCACTAAAGGTAGGATGACAAAACAGTCCTTTTAGGGTTAAATTAAAACTATTTTTTTAAAAGCCACCTACAAACATCTTAAGAGCATTCGCCACTTCATCCTTTGTCAACATTATTTTCACCTACCTTATGGAGGCCTATCTGTCAACGGGATGCATATGTCAAAAGAATCTAGGATCTTTAGCAGTTAATCACATTATTTTTTGAGCGCATCTAAAGGTATCAAACATGTTTCCAATTTAAATGAAGATATGAAATTATACAAAATAACATACAATGACAAATTATAATATTGTTATTATTTTCTTCCTGGTCTTTCGCCAGTTCTTTGATTTTGGCCATGGTTGAGTTTAAGTCTGACTGTGAGGCTCTAAATTGGTGTTCTTTATACAGATAACAAGTGTTAACAAGTTCCATTAACACAGTTAACAAGTAGAGAACAGAAGAGGTCCTTAAAGGAGAAGTTACCTTTCTGTGCAGGCCAGAATGCTTGATTTTCTGTGGGTGACCAAATACTTATTTTTCTCCATCATTTACAAAGAAATAATAAAAAAAAAAAACCTACAATGTAATTTCCTGGATTTGTTTTTTATTTTTCTATTACAATTGACATTTACCTATTACAGAAATTTCAGACCTCTCTCATTTTTCTTAGCAGAAGACCTTGCACAGACAGTGGCTGCCTAAATATTTTTTTGAATACCTTAGTAGGTAGGAACTTTATTTATTTAATTCCCAATGGGGGAATTCATGTGTCCAGTAACACCTATTATTCACAGAAACCACACGCACGCACAAACACTAAAAATGGAAAAATATGAATTAAATTGTTTGCTATTTAGAAAATGCACTTGGTTAGCATGATGTGTTGTGCAGACTCTTTGCAGCAGGATTCATCTCCTGAACTGCTCTGTTCTACAGTGTAGCAAGACCAGTCTGTCACTATGACTATTTCGCTAAGTGGCCTCATGTAGTTTGTTTTCCATCCTAGAGGTTGGTCTGCATCAGATGTCTTGTCGTCTTCTTCACCAACACCACCAGAGGATCTGCTCCCCCTATTACAGATTGACATTTTCTGATCAGTTTGTCAAGCCCCTTACCATCCAAGACAGTGATAATGTTACGCCAACAAACAACCCCAAAGACCATTTATCTAACATTGATGACTAGCCAGCAAAAATCAGCCAAAGCAGTCAGGCAGCATTGACGTGAGGTGCTCAAAGACCCTGATTGAGTGCCAAGAAAACCAAAATACATATATTGTTAGGGAGTGGAGGTAACATTAACAGGTGTGCTAATTGGGGACTTTAAAAAGGTTGTGATGTTGAAGGCTGGAAACCGAGGCGAACAAATTCTTTAGAGCCTCGGATGGTGTAACTAGAACCTGGACCTTAACAAAGCCACTAAAACATAGTAATCTGAGATATCTGACAATTCACTCTGTATCTCCTTCTCTTTCAGCTGTTTTGAGAATATTTCCAAACAGATCTCAGTTCTTTCTATATGATTCGATTGCGCTCAGCTGTGTGAACGATGGAAACTCATCTGACTGGAGAGTAATGAGAAAAACAACCAACAGCGAAGCCAAAGAGTGTTCCTCCTGGGGGAAGATAAATGTGTCGCAATGCTTAATCGATGCCGTTTACAAATTAGACAGTGGATTGTACTGGTGTGAATCCAGAACTGGAGCATGCAGTGAAGTTATAAACATCACCGTGACAGGTGGGTGCAGCTAAACAGCAATTGGATATATTTCTATCAATGAGCCACTGCTATTACTTTGTCTTCAACTTTATATAAGCTCGGAGAATTTATGAGGCTAATTTACTGTAAGAATGTAAAAAAAATACAGCTTTTGTAATTCTTCCTTAATTTTTGGTTAAAAACATATTAATGGCTTATTATAGAAGTAGGTTTTGATCCTTTAAAACTGCAATTAAATAACCTAGAGACAGGAGGGTAAGAGTGTATAACTGTCCAGCAATATTACATAATGTTAATTAATGTGAACTGAATTGATACATGAACACATGCTTGCTCAACACATACAAGGTCTAAATTCCATCAAATAATATGTTTGATGTTATTCATAATCATTTAAATATTTCATGTTTTTGTTCAGAAAACAATCAAGGCTAATGTCTTTCTCTTTCAAGGTAAAATATGCTCTGTGTTTGACATCGAAGGAGTGGTCACCCAGAAATCTGACTTGCATGTTTACACATTAGTGTACTAAAAAAAGTAAAAAAAAAAAAAAAAAAAAAAGATATCTATTTTTTCCTTAAAAGACAGGTGATCCTGTTAAAACTTTGAAAATTAAAAATATGCTAGAATATGTGCAGGTTTACTGATTAGGTAGTTAACTGATTAGGTAGTTAACTGATTAGGTAGTTAACTGATTAGGTAGTTAACTCAGCTTTGTTGATGATAAGAGTAAACAAAAATTAAAACTCATGAAGCATGAAATGAAAACACAGTATAGACAAAAGCACTCCTTTAATAAGAGATTTCATTTGAGATTTTTTTTAAATCTAAAGCTACGTTCAGAACGCCAGCAGCAGGAGCAGTAAAACATGCGCGCAGCTTCCTTTTTGATGCTTGTACAAGTTTAGTTCCGCTAAGTGGGTCTGATGCACGTTGAGTGGAGCTACTCTATCCTTTTTTTTGCCTGTAACATCCATCCATCCATTTTTTAGCACGCTTATCCCGAGTGGGGTCGCGAGGAGTGCTGGTGCCTATCTCCAGCAGTCAATGGTCAAGAGGCAGGGTCCACCCTGGACAGGTCGCCAGTCCATTGCAGTTGTCTGTAACAATGGCAGCTATATTTGCTGTTATAAGTCGCCAAAAAGTAGTTTTAATGTGTTTTTTAGTGAGAAAGTCGACGTGAAAACTTCATCTGTGCAGACACTTCATCATGATTATGATCCTGCCTTCAAATATTATTTCTCTGTCGGAGCTGCTCAGACCCCCGTACACCGGCAGTGATCTGTCACTTGGATCCCTGTTCAAAAGCAGCCTCTGGCCCGGTTGCCTCTTCACGGTTTTCTGCTACTGTTTGTGGTGGCTTAAAGGCGTTTTTCACCTACGTACAGTAATCCAAACTACAGGCACCAGTGTTAAAACCCAACATATTTTGCTGGCAGGTCTGTCTCCCTGCCAGCTCCCAGATCAGCTTCTCTGATTGGTTGATGTGGTATGTCGAGCCTCAAAAGTTCAATTTTTCCAACTTCAGCAGCTGCTGCTTTCTTAAGCGGGTTGCATGCGTCAGATGCTCAGAAGCTCATGATGCGTTGCTTCTGCTGCTCAAAATGCGCTGCGGAACCTTTTGATGCACCAAGATGCAAGTCAACCATTGACTTTGCATGTAAACTGCTTCTGCTGCCTCTGCTGTTTGTGGTCTTAACGTAGCATAAGGCAGATAAACCATAATCTTAATTTTTTGGGGGGGAGGTTGGCTTACTCATTTTATATCATAAAGGGCTTTTATGTTATGTATCTCTGCCTGGTGCTCAGATGGTCCTGTGATCCTGGAAAATCCTGTGCTTCCTGTAGCAGAGGGAGAAGCAGTGAGCCTGCACTGCATCCATAAAAATGCCTCCTCCAACCTCACTCAGTTTTATAAAGATGGTCTCCTGATTGGGAGCAGCACAACTGGAAACATCACCATTCAGGATGTTTCCAAGTCTGAGGAAGGTCTCTATAAGTGTAACATTGCTGGAGCTGGAGAATCTGCAGAGAGCTGGCTGTCAGTCAGAGGTGAGAAGAAATTTGCACAAAGAGCTGATGAACTTCATTAAATTTAATGATAAATGACATGTCTGCTGTGGGTGTTTGTAGGTTGTGTCACTGTTCTAATGTATTTATAGCTTTGAACTATAACTGTTTTACTCCCCCATATGTCGTTGAAGGCAGGAAGCCGGACTCTCTTCACTTTCGACCTGAATACATGTTACTTCCTGTTGTTGCTGTCTGTCTCTCTTTTGCATCATTGAAGCTCTTTCACTTCTGGAAAAATTTCAAAGGTCAGCCCTGTTTCCTATGAATCAAGTACTGTTTGTTTTTTTTTTTTTGTTTTTTTTTTATGCTGGTATAAAGGGTCGACTGCTGGGCCGCTTATTGGACTGGACCTCAGCAGAGAGCCATGAGCAGCCCGTCCTCAGCCGGAGGAGGGGGGCTGGGGCCTGGTAACAGACATCCCAAGGCTCCTGGAAGTTCTGGGAGTCTCCTTGATATAGATAGTTGTTCACGGATGCCCGCGAGTCGGATAAATTATCCCATATTTTAGACTATGCAAGGTGGTGTTTTTTTTTTAACGCCAGTGAGTGCGTGGAGGCAATACAATAATTGGTGCACCATGTGCGGATTACTACTGCTTCGATTACACAAACAAGAGAGTGTAGGGTCTGGGGAGGAGGTTGCTTGTGAAACCTGTGCATATCTGTCCAACGCAAAGCTCTGTTCAACAAGCGTTACCGGGTGACTGGTTTTCAAAGAGCGCACCGATTGGATTAGTCAGAAAAATAAGCCAATAAGTTTGGTTTACTCTCTTACAGTCACCTAGTTACCACTCAGTCGTGCATCCTCTAAAATAGGTTGAATCCTCCAGTAAAAAACAAAAATATGAGACTCACTTTACAGCAGAATGTACTGAAGTATGTCCACGTCTAGTGAAGGTGAAGAAGGATTAAATGTGTTTGTATGCACTTTATCCAATTTCCTCATAACATCGCTGTTGGTTTATGAAGAGGAATCAACTAGGTGTCTCCCTAATAGCTTGGTCCAAAACCACGTTACTGATCCACAGGTACCGACCCTCAAAGGTAACACTCCATCAACCCGCAGCAGCAACCTTTTGGTTCCCCCCTTAATTAAGACTCGTTCCCCCATATCAAACAAACAATATACATGAAATACATGAAATTATGCTTTTAATATTTAAAGG